GGGGGCTCAATGTAACGTATATATCTATCATAAACATTGTACAAGAGTATTCATGTCTTTTGTGCTTGTCTAACATTCAAGGCCTGTCAAGAAACAAAAAAAGTTCCTTTAACATTTTCCAGTATTTGGCCAAGTGGTTAGAGTTATGCAGAAAGAAGGAGAAGGGAGTAAGGAAGGCAGAGAGACAGCGCAGCAAGCTAAATATCAGACATCCACATCGCAGCAGGATGTTACACGCTCCCTTTAGTGCCACCTACCTTCTCTCTCTCTCTCTCTCTCTCTCTCTCTCTCTCTCTCTCTCTCTCTCTCCCCTTCTGACTGGCGAGGAGGAGTGTGAACTCCAAACCAGTGAGAGGAGAGGAGAGGAGAAAAGAGGAGAGAACTGGGGTGGGGGTGGTTGAGGGGAAGGGAGGAAATGACCTAGACATAATGTCACACCTACATCCAGTTCACATAAAACACAAGCGTGAACAACATGACGAGCTGAACAATGTCGGTGTCTTCTTTGGGACACAGGGCTTATCTTTGACAATCCTTGAGGAAATAAAAATCCAGACAGAAGCCAGCCCCTAATATGTAACATTAATGAAAATGACGTGATTAACGTAATAAACCTGACCTGTCCTCGAGTTGCACAACCATTGTTGGGGAAAAGGGCTCTACTTTATCGTGCCGACCGGCCATTAACCTCAATTCACCAAAGATGAGGAGATCTGGGAATGTGCTCTCAACTCGTTTGATCCTGAAAGGACTGGTGTTTAATTATGGAGCCTGCCTCACGTAAGCGCACTCTCTGTCTCGTAGTGTCCTATACTCAAAAGACGGAGCGATTGTTATGATACATGACGTAATACTTGCTTCAGCATTCTTTTCTTAATAGAACTATAAGTTTAAATTGGGTAATTCTTTTCGTTATGTATTTAGAAGAAAACTGAATAATAAATACACTGTAAGAAGAACCGAATACTTGAAGAAAAAAAGATGATACTTCTGCAGCAAGAAAACTGGTGATCTTTCTGTATGGGTTTAAAATTATGCTGCATACAAATAGGTCCCACCACTGTTTACGGTGCAGCGGTTAGGTGCTTCGCCGTCACACACAGAGGACCTGTGTACAACTCCCGTGTGTACAATTTTGGTCGAATATCTCTCTATTTTCTGCTGGGAAGATGTCTCCCTCTCAACCCGGGGTCAAAACCGGCCTTCAAAATGATCTAAATTGTGTCGAAAGTGGCATAAAACACCAACATTAAAAGAAAGGCCACTTGGGAGGCGGAGAGCTAGGTTCTTGTAAAAGAGCAGAGAAAAAGGAAGACAATAGGAAAGAAGGCAGAGACGATACAACGGAATTCAGTTTGAATAAAGTGAAGTACATGTATGTCCACACAATACAGGCCGTTCTGTGTGAGGAAAAGCAACGATAGGCCTACAGAAACAGTAGGTGGAAAGAAAAGAAGTACCATAAGTCATACCACTGGCGCCATCACATCACACATGATACAAGGAAGAAATATCACACTATAATATGTATATCAAAGCATAATATTATGTTAGCACAAGTTTTTCCACTACTAAAGGATTGCACCCTCTGTTGGTTTTAGTTTAACTTTAGTAGAGGTTTTTACGGCGCTCACAACTGCATAAGGTCATATGAGCGCCAGAAGATTAGAGGTGTCACAAGAGAGTAACAATCATAAAAAAAGAAAAAGGGGAGATAAGGACCATAGATGTTTGATAGGAAAGAAGAAACAAACCACACCAGAGTATCCGCCAACCACCCACCCTCTATTTGTTTGCGGTGGATCTTTTGATTAAAACTCTAACCAACTAGGGGCAGCAAGAAAACATCTGCCTCATTTTTCAGCGTGTAACTTGTTAAACCGGTTGTTGTAATTGTTGTTGTTGCTATTGTTGTTGTTGCTATTGTTGTTGTTGCTATTGTTGTTGTTTTGTTATCTTGTTTCCCCATATATCACAGGACTCAACACGTCTGAACAAACAAATTATGCTGAAAACCCCCCCACAGAAATCCAAACAATTACACTTTTTCTTTTGCCATTAAATAACCCATCAAATCAATATTATATTTTCAGCTCGGCAAAAGTACTTATAAGACAAGCAGATCGTGCAGAGAACACGTTAATGAGCCATTAAGAATAGAAAGCTGTCAATAGTCAACTTGCAAAACGCAACATGAAGACCTAAGGCCGTAACATCACAAGGCTAAAGCCTGTTACTGACAGGACTTTGTAGCAATAAATGTAAGTTAATACCCTTTCTCATATTTGTTCATGAATCAACTGATTCATCCCCCTCTCCCCCACTCTTGTTCTTTCTCTTTATCCCCCTCTCTCTCTCTCTCTCTCTCTCTCTCTCTCTCTCTCTCTCTCTCTCTCTCCTCTTCTTTTATTGTTCTCTCTCTCTTCTTCCTGTCTTTTTCCTTCTACACTGTACCTCTGTGAGTCTCCTCATCCGTTTCTTTGCCCATTTTTTCTCTCTATGCATTTCTGTGTCCCTATACACATGCAAGAAAGCTTAGATAGATAGATAGATAGATAGATAGATAGATAGATAGATAGGGAGAAAGAGAGAGAAAGAGAGAGGAGAGATAGATCAAGGAGATAGATATAGAGAGACAGAGAGGTCAGAGAGTGTGAGTGAGGGAAAGAGAGAGAGGGAGAGGGAGAGGGAGAGGGAGAGGGAGAGAGAGAGAGAGAGAGAGAGAGAGAGAGAGAGAGAGAGAGAGAAAGAGAGAGAGGGGGGGAGAGACAGAGAGACAGAGAGACAGAGAGACAGAGAGAAAGCGTCAGAAACAGAGACAGAGAGGGCTAAGAGAGATAGAAAGAGACGGGGAGAAAAGCCGCTGAAAGACACGCCCTAACATTCGCGTGAGCACGAGCAATGAGGACAAGGAGGCAGAGAGGATCAGAGTAATGAATTAGGCAAGCAGCGCTCACTCACCCGACAAGTCTGTGCCGCCACAGCCCCACTGACACAGAGAAGACAAGTTGTTGTCCTCCTAGCTCAGTCGATATTAAATTGGATTGCGACCTGGCAATTATTCTCAACGTTGTCTTACGTTTGTTTGAGTAAAGTGAAGTACATCGATATGATAAAGGTCGCTAAGTGCAGGGAAAGGAGAAACAGTTTTAGTTTTAGTAGAGGTTTTACGGCGCTCGCAACTGCATAAGGTCATACGAGCGCCAGAAGATTAGAGGTGTTGCATGAGAGTATCAAACATAAAAAAGAAGGAAGGGAGACAAGGACGATAGGTGTTTGATAGGAAAGAAGAAGCAAATCACACCAGA